CAAATCCAATTCAGAGATTCAGCTGCTGTCAAATCGGACAGGCCCCCCCCCCGCTTACCTTATCTAATGTAAATCAGATATTTTCACTGAAAATGCTAGTAGAAGCATAGCGCTAGAAAGCTCAAATGAAGAGTCATTCAAATGGTGTGTTCTGGTGCAATTGTATTTTGGTACCTCAGAGTGAAGGAGCAGGCGCTATCTTGGTCATGTTCAAAGGTAATTTATTGTAACAGCAGTTTGAATGGAAATCTTGATTGCAGCTTTTGGGCACAGATTCAGGTCTTATCTGGCCAGGGGCTTCCCATGGGTAGCTTTAAAACATTGGGAATGCATCTACAAGTGCATATTAATGCACAGCAATAAATTCTGGTGCAGTTTTCACCCGAATTTATTGTTCCTGGATGCTGCATTTACACGTGCCTGGGACTGCAGCATGTTGAGCCAAGTCGAAGCAAACCAGGCTGGCAGGGGAACCAGAGGTCAGCCTGCCACCCAGAACTGCTCTGACCCAGCTCAACGTGCTGTGCAAGAGCTGGCTAGGGCACAAGGGTGCTGGGCTAGCCAGCAGGCAGCCCCCACACTGAAGCATCCTTATGCCCCAGCCAGCTGGTCAGCATCCACATGTGCTGTGCTGTAGAGTAAAACACCCTGCAACAGGATAGTACTTGTATTTACAAGTACTAACCTACAGCAGAAGGTATTAGTTTCCTGCAGCCTAATAGGGGAGCATGTGTAGATGCCAAGATGTTTACTGCAGAGCTAATTAGTCAACTCCACAGTAAACATCTCATGTAGATGCACCCTGGAACATCTTGATGATAATCCATGTGGCTATTTTAACAATTATTTTTAGGACAAATATATTGTCATGAAACATTTCATAGATGACATAACCAGGATCCAAAAACTTTGACGTGTTAATTATTGGTATTTTTTACACTTCAAAACCCTACATGTCATTGAAATTCCAGTTAGAATTAACTTGTGAAATATGCTTTTAAAAGAATTACAGAACTGCACAGGAAACTCAACCTAGACAATGTTTGTTTTTACTAGCCAACACCTTCACCGGGTGCATATGCTGTACGGGATTTCCTTGAAGAAGCCCAGCTCAACCCAGTGAAACCCACATACAATTTTAAAGGAGAAGGCAGAAAGAGACCTTCCATCTTTCATCCAAAAGCGGACCTTTCCATTCCGGGTGTTTACACATATATGCCTCCTAGTTTTACTGATTTAGCAAGAAAAGGGCTAGCAACATATTCATTCAAAAGCACACCGAGGAACAGTTCCAACACCTTAAATTTCAGAGATAAGGTAAAAACAGAATAATAGTTACATCTCTCTCTTGAATGAGACAAGATAGGGAAAAACAAGAGATCACCTTGCATATGATATACTATGATAGAGTTTTAAAAAGCATTTGTTTGATTGTTTTTGATACTATATTTTTTAATTATCCTATTTTAAAAACAAACCTATGATCCCAGTCTGAGGAGGCCCTGAGTGGCATTCTCACAGGCTGGACTTTGGGAAACCATTGGGGCTGCATCCCATCCTCAGACATACACTTCCCAAGATACCAGCAGTCCCCAGATACTCACTCACTTCTCAAACTTCCTTCTCCTATGACCGTCACAACTTCTTCTCCATTCTGACCCCAGTTTCCTTTTTCAGCTGGCCTTGTTTGCTTCATAAGTTCCAGCTCCTGTGAATTCCCAGGTCCCGCAGCCATTCCTATCAGATGCCTTTCTCAGGTGGTCCCAGCCACAGTGTCCAGAGTCATCTTAATATTCTCTGTACTTTTCTCTGTTGCAGAAACTTTGTTTCCTCCCTTCCACATCAATCTGCTCTGCAATAGGATGGGGCCAAAAGGTTCTGTGTTTAGCTAAGAGCCACTTGAATGGGACCATCCAGGCAGAATTTCTTACCCATCAAACAGCCCTCAGGTGACCGTGGTTCACTTTTGTTCACATACTATTCCTGCAACCTCCTGGTGTAGTAACGATGACAGAACTTAAGGGACAGGTTTCACGTCCTTAGCCGAGCTTCTAATACAAAGAAGGAAGTTTTCTGGTGGATAAGAAGTGTTGTCTCTGCCCTCCACAGTTGCCATATGGAAGGTCTTTACAGTTAAGAGATCCCTCTCTGATCCCACTCACATGACATAGCATGCTGGATCCAGTGGGTTGTGGGGAAAGGGAAAGAAACTGGTCTTGAAGGAGACCCAACTTTGCTTGGAGCAGCTACAGAGGCACAAGGTTTTTTTCAGGTGCATATCTTCCACCTGCGTTTGAAGATTTAGCCACTGGATTTATATATAATTTTTCAGCATCTTATAAATTATGTTTGTAATAAAGGAGGCGTGATTTTAATGCTCTTTTGAGGAGTATTACAAGACTTCATTAATTAGCCTTGGAAAGCTTGGAAAAAAATTGGAAAGTTGTGCTGGGAAAGACTCTGGAAAGAGTTCCACCCCAAAGCTGAAAGGCCCATTGGCTTCCTTGAGTAGGACCAGACCCAGAGAGCATAGCTATAAAAATGATGGGCCAAGAAAATGAGCTAAATTTTGCCCTCCTTAGAATAGCTGTATTGCTTAAAGCAAAGCCGTGAATGAAGCTCTTTGAGATGAAAGTAGTAAATTGAAGTCAAACCTTGATACCCTATCATTGCCCAGTCTTAACCAACCACTCCTTTTAGAATATTGACCTTGCACCAGGACAATACAACCTGCTCCCTCCTGAAGTTCCCAAGTTTGCATCCAAGTGAGTAAATTGATTTTGTTACCATGTAGGTGTTTGGATGTATTATAAAGTCTGTTTTATTTTCCAGGACTTCAGAATTTCAGAGCTTCAGAGTATCTGCAGCTCTCTCATTTATGCACCTAATCCAAAGTCATTAAAGTCACACATTAACTTTGAGGCTCAGACCTTAAGTCAGTATCTTGACTCCTAACTCTGCTGTAAGCTCCAGTTTAATAAAGTATTCAGAGATATACAGACGCCCATCCCCATTCAACACAGCCATTAAGAATGTGTTTATCTTAAAAGGGATGAACTTGGTAGCCATGTTGGTCTGAGACAAAAAGACATACAAAGACTAGAAGTCTTGGTTTCAAAATGATACCTTGTATTAGACCAACTGGAAAATGGCAAGAACATTGTCCTTTTCTGCAAGCTTTCAGGATCAAAGTCCCTTCTTCAGGCTCTGGGAAAAGTGTAGATGGTACAAGATGGTAAAAAGTCCCCATAGGTAGGAAAATTATCTTAAAATATCTTAAAAGCTAAACACAGCAATTAAGAATGTGTTTGTCTTAAAACACACTTCACTCCCAGTGACTTCAGTAGATTTGCTTAAAGCTAAACATTAGCCCAAGTGTTAACTGAATTGGGACCATAATACTCACTTGACTTGAAGTTGTCTGTGCTCAGCACTTCTAGGAAATAGGCTTTCTACATTAGTAGGTATCTAAGGGCACCTGTAGACGTGCAGGGACACCGCTCTGATGTAATTACAGCACATCAGAGAAGACTCAATTAATCATTCTGATTAATTGAGCCTGCTGGAGCGTTCTCACTACTGTGCTCCAGCTGCCTTGTATATTCAACATCCCCATCCTTCAAAATGGTGGCAGGGGTGCTTTATCTAAAGTTTGTTGAATGAGCTTTAGTTGAAGCACCCTTGCCAGCATTTTGAAGTGCAGGATGCTGAATACACGAGACAGTGCAGGTGCTTTATTTAAAGCGGTTTTCCGAGCCACCCTAATTATAGACTCCCTGCCCCCGAGCATGTGTAAAAATGCCTTAAAATTACCTACCTTTTTGGCATCTAGATTTGAAAATAAGGCCCTCTATATGTGTCAATTAACATTAATGGAAATGGCTTAGCTATATTTTTTATATACCAGCGAAGGATACTGCAAGGCCTCCTTAGCTTTTCAGTATATTTTACCAAAACAGAACAATTTCTGTTCCATTATCTAGCATTGAAAATGACAGACAGCTACACTTTCTTGTACTGAAACAAAAACAGGTATAGAAACTGTTGTTAAAGATGAAAGTAACAGTAAGAACATGACTCAGATGATCTTACCTGCTTCTTTTCCAAAACTTAGGCAGTTTATGTTTCGTTCTGCAGTCCAAAGGTGCAAAGCAACCTACTTCACTCCTGTAAGTACTATGTGGAAAATAGTAACTGATGATAAGAAGTGTTTGGGTGTCTAAAAGAAGAGAAAAGAAAAAATACCTGGTTCTTCTGTATATTTAAAAATGATCTTTCCTGGTTTGTAGAGTATGCTTGGGGTGGAAATCCCTTACTCCTTGTGCACTAACTTCCTAAATGGAAGTTTGACGGGCCAAGTAAGTGGCATTTTTGGAAATTATGCACAGCTTGCACTTCTGTTACCTCTGTAGTGTAGACACCCAAGTGTGCTTCTGTACACTGGGTATGTGCAGTTGTCTTTGTGCTGGGAATGTAGTAGCCAGCCATGTGGACATGTAAATTATTGTGGATATGTAACTTATGAACGTGTAGCTGGACAAAATCCAGTAACTAATGCGTGTAAGACACCAGAGGAAGAGAAGGATGACCCACCCATGTCTAAGCTCCAAGAGCTAAACAGGAGACACTTGCCCAGGAAATAGAAAACCAGGCTCTAGGCTCCTCCTTCCTCAGGAGGGATTTGAAGTTGTATCCATCAGGCCACAGGTTTAGCATTATCCAAGCTATTGCCCAACTATGATTTTGACTCTGAAACACTCTGGGCAACTATGAGAGGGAAATATATAATTATGTAATATATAAATATACACAAACTCAAGGATGTGTGACTGAATGACTGTTGTTCTCAAAGGGAACAGGCCCAGGCTTCTAGCCTGCAGCCTTGCTCCCCATGCAGGATGAACTCCCTGTACCCAGTGATCGTTAAATGCGAGGTGCCATGCCTCAGCTTCAAAAGGAATGAGGGAGAAAGAACTGGATAATGCCTAACCTGTGCATAGTGTTTAGAGCACCATGCTGGGAAGTCAGAGAGATATACGGTCAACCCCGCTCTGGGCAAGTGGTGCCTAGATCCTGCTTCCAGGACAAGTGCTCCTAGTCACTTGGCTACTGGGGCTAGAAGATGGGAAGGACCTCCTCCACTGTGTTTAAGTGTCAAAAACACCAATTCCATGGCTAGAAACTGCTATTTAGGCTCCCAAAGTGGACTAGAACTCCACTCTTAGTTTTCTATAGTATGCAAAGACCTTGATCCTACAAACAATGACACTTGTGAATTAACTTTGTGCCTGGGAATAGTTTTTACTACAGAGAGACTACTCCTGTGAGGAAAACAACACATAAGGTTAAGTATTTGCAGAAACTGGTTCAAAATAGCTTAGGAAAATGATTAATCACTTTGTCTCAGCTTTGGCAATCACTCAATCTCAACATCTATTTATGGCAAGCCTACTGTAAAACAATGTTCATTGTTCCTATTGTTCAGCAGGACACTATGAAAAAATACCTACAAGAAACAATGTTTTTCCTCCTCTGTGAGAGTTTGTGAGACTAGGCTGTTTCCTCACCAGAATTTCTGGTGAGGTATGGTGTAGGGTTGTGGTTTAGATGAAGAACAGACTGAAGAGGTGTTAAAGTATGCATATTTCTTCAAGTGAATGGGTTGAGAGGCAAGGAAATGAGAGGGGACAGGACAAACATCATGCCCGTGGAGGAGGAGAATGATTAGCTATCATTCCTCTTTTGCATGAATGAAACTCCAGGCTTCAAATGTCTTCACAGTGTTTGGACCAGATTCTGACCTCACCAGCATCACAGTGGTGCAACTCCACTCAAGGATGGTAATCTTGATTTATGACAATGAAACGGAATTGGACCCATTACAATGTCACTCCATTCTTCCGCTTAAATTCCCTGTATTTTATTTATTAAATTGTCAACCATTCAACTATCCCTAAAGTAAAAATACCCTTCTGACATCACTCCAAGCTAGCTGGGTGACACCTGTAAATTCTGTGTCTGACCCAGAAAACTTTCTATATACAGAACTCGGAGTAAACACAACCTGAGTCTGATGCACTTTCATTGGTGACTGCCTCAAGCTTTGCCAGTTTGGAGCTTCAATTTCCATCATGGATTAAATAGGTGTTGACAGCAAATTCCTTACTGGGCCAGATTTATACTTGCACATAACATACACAAAAGCTTGTGCACATATCATCTGCACTCTCT